CTGCACCAGGAGAGGTGAAGCAGAGCTCAAAAAGGAAGTTGCCGGAAACTGTCTGATAAGGATATTAGTAGTTGGCAAGACATTTGATCCCCCTTTTCATTTTCAGTCAACTTAAAAAATTAGTAAGTGCAGGCCCTCCCTGGTGGCACAGCAGGTTAAAGCACAGTGCTGTGAAGCTGTCACAGCCACTGCAGCGCAAGTTTGATCCCCGCCCTGCAGCTGACCTACATGGCTGGCAGACCTCTCCTGACCCACCTGCTGCTCCCCTCAGCAGTGTACTTCAGTCAGTCTGCCTGTTCTGCTCCCCGCTCTGTCTCTGGTGAATCCTCGCACTGCCCCTCCACCTCTGGCCTGTGCCTCAGTTCTGTATGCATAAATAAATCTTTAAAAAATTAGTAAGTGAATATTAGTTAGTGTGTGGGACAAGCTCGGTGAATGGCCACCTGGTTGCTCAGCACAAGGCCTATTTCCACTCAGTTCGCCCTCAGCTGGCCTGGAGGCAGAGGGCAATCACAGCCTCTCTTTTTTTCTGAAAACTGCTTTCAAATGCCCTCTTGTTGGGATCTATAAACATCACAATTTGGGTATCAAAAAAGTCATGTTTAGAAGACTTCTCTGTGCGGAGAGAAAGGACTGCGAAGTACTGAACGTACTCAGAAAGGTTGTGCAGTTGCTTCTTTTGACATGATTCTTCCCCCAACCGTTGTCTTTTAAAAGCAATGAGCAAAATATTCACCTCGGTCGGATGGTTTAAATATGAGAAGGGGTGGACTTTGCTTGTTCTGAAGCCCGTGGCTCTGATGACGGGACGGCACTTGGACAGTATGACCTTTCCATGTGGACTGGGTGAAAGTATTAGTTGTTTCACAGAACAAAGCAGTGACAAACTCTTTGTGAGTGAGTACTATCTCAAGCAACTTGACATTTGTGGCCTGAAAGAGGCCTCATTTTCTCAATGTTCACTTGCAACTTTAACCACAGTGTTTCTACTTTTCAGTCGATGAGGTTGGCTGAACATTACTGAAGACCTGGGTAAAATAACAATCCACTCCTGTAGGCTGGACAAATGGACTCAAAAAGCTTAGGAAAGATCACGTGGAGTTCTGCTGTATAAAAACAAAAAAGTGTACAGTTCCAAATGCTGACTGTGTGTGAGCCCACAAAGCAAAAATTACTCATGAGAAGACCTATGCACACAGGTGGCCCGGAAACGTCACGGTGAGGGGTTCTGGGTTTGCCCTTGCAAATTCGGAAAATTTAGAAAAAGGTAAAATTTAGAAAAAGGTTATTCCCACTTTAAGGAAAAAATGCAGGTGAGTGGCAAGCATTTAATAATTTTTTTTTTTTTTAAATCCAGGCAGAAGAAATTGTAGAAAAACAAAAAAGACGATGGATCGTTCCTCAACACAGAGGCTGCAGAGGTGGCTGCTCTCCGGCACATGGGAGGACAGGCCAGTCTGCGGGAGCCCCGGGCCTGCCCTTACTGTCCGGTGTGCACTAAGAAGTCTTTCTTTACCTCTACTCTCAAGAAACTTAAGTTTTCCTGGCATGAAAGGTTAACAGATTAGGTCAGCCAGAAAACACACATACATGAAACTGAACTAGACTGACAGCAGTGCAGGCATTTTCCTGGCCTCTAATCAGCTCCTTTAATGAATGTCAGACACTGACTACCTTATGCTCAGATATGCATTTTTGTATATAAGCTGTTACAAAATCCCTCCCTGCTCTATTTTGCAGGTTTAAGAAAGTCTTATATAGAAATGAATCCTAAAAATTTATGCTGTGCCAGCACTTTATATACACTCACAGGCAGAGCTGTCCATAAGAACACTCAGCTCTGGGCAGAGACTGATGCTCAGAGACACAGCAATGGTTTCTTAGGAGTGAGGAATTGAGCTCATATTATTTTCAAAATGGTTTGTTAGCAGAGGCCTCAGTCACTGGGCAAAACTGGAAACATTAAGGAAGATGCAAACCTTTCTGCTTCTCACAACCCAAAACACCTCACCGTGACGTTTCCGAGCCACCTGTGTGGGTGTAGTGGACAACTGCCCATTACAGCCTGCACCAGGCAAAGTGCTTAGGATGAACCTGTGACCCCACGAGTGGGAAGGGACTGGCTCCAGGGCCCCGAGGGGGGGGAGGAGGGAGGGAGAGGAAGCAGCAGAAAGGCTGGCTCTCAAGGGTGGGCACCACGTCCAGCCCTCACGCACGTCTGGGCACTGCAGAAGAAACGTCCCGCGCAAGCAGCAGAGTGAGAGTGCAGCTTTGTTGCAAGTGCTCTCAAGTCAGGTCCAGCATTAGCGAAGTCAGCAGGACCAGAGCTCTGCGCGTTCAGTAACAAAGTCTCTGATCACTGGTCTGCCTACTGCCGGAGTCAGAGAGCTGAGGGAAAAGGCATACAGCTGGTAAGAATACATTAAACTTACACCTCTCTTCACTTTGCCTATGTTCACCACAAGTCATTATTTTGAGGGGTTCATTTTAAGCCCAGCAAATAAAACTGTCATTACAAAAAATATTGTAAAAACTAAAACTTCTCCCCAACTTTCCAAGCTTCACAGAAAACACACATATATTCTAGGGAGCAATACCTTACAGCAATTAATAGGCTTTTTAATTGTAGGAAGTTACCAGTGTATATGGCTTCCCTTAATGATATTCGAATATAACAGCCCTATGTAATTGCCAGCCTACATTAATGTAGTTCTCAGGGGGTGCCACAAAAAACCTGTACGATCATCCACAGGGAGATTGGAGGACAGAGGGGGTAGGAACACAGCCCAGCCAGAAATATGCAGTGGCACTTAATCACTGTAATTTAGATTTTGTCACCAAGTCCCAGGTACAAGCTCTTTTATGCACTGTCAAGAGATTTCCACATTAATTGCTGTTCCTGTCTTTTGAGGACACAAACACTCTAATTTGCAGCGATTTCAGTTTTTCTAGCAATGTGCATTTGGTGGCTAAGTCCCGCTTTCCCTCCAGAAAAGGCAGGCTGCTAAAGCCCTGATTATCCAGCTCATTCTGCCAAAATCAACAGACTGAAGTCACAAAGCTTCCCGCTTCCCAGTCTAGAAAATAGTGTGACTCAACCTATCAGTGGGTGGCAAGCCCAACTGCCCCCCTGAAAGGCCACATTCTCCTCTTCTCTAGCAAGTTTGACTTTCGATAGAAAGTTCTTTCTAAATGATGACTTAAATGATTTCAGCATGGCTAGTGTGAAGTAGAACACTTGGGGTAATCCTCTGGGGCCTCAGGCAGCTCCAGTCAACACACTCACAATGCACACCCAGATGCCTATTTTTCAGGCGGCACACAAGAGATTCTCTGTCAGAACTGTGAGATGGCAATGCCCTCATTTTGTGCTTTGACTTCAGATGCCCAGCCCTTTCCTTTATGCCGCATGGGGGTGCCATTCGGGACAAGCTCTCTATAACTGACTTTCTCCTGCCATTGAGTTAGACTAGAAATACGAAGCCAGACAAAACAGTCTTAAAAATGACATCCTTTTCTTAAATAGGAGAACTAAAAATCAAAAAAAAAAATAGAGTTACACAAGTCTAGAGAAATTAGACTGAATTGAAAAATGTTCGAAGTAGATGCAAAGGCTGTAGTCAAGAGGCCGGTGAGGCGCAGCACAGCCAGTGGCGAGGCCACAATTCTGTCTCTGGGTCTTGGTCTAACAGTCTATGGGACCTACTGCCCAGCCTTCTGTTCTGCCTTCCCAAGCAGTTCCTAGACACACTTGGATAAAACATTCTATCTTCAGCTGGGAGGGAGGCCAGCTGGGTACCTGCTACCTGAGGACACTGAGACCACTTCTCAGGTGCTGCTGGCTGTGCTGTCCGGCCCTACCACAGTCACGTTCTGTTACTGCATGTGCCAGCAGAAATAGAAACCAAAAGTGGTGAAGATGCTTCCTATAGTAAGGTCAACCTGGAATTGCTCAAGATAGGAAATTCAAGATCTTACCAGGAGTAAAATAGAAACAGTGAGAGAACTGAATATTTAACTGAGCAGTTTAAACAAATTTAAATTAATAGGCGATGCCCTTTCTCATTAATATGATTTGTAGTTCAAAGACACATTATATTTCTGGATTCTCACTTGGAAAGTAAAATTGAATTTAATTTCTCTTACTATTTAGGGCATAGTAAGGAGATATCCAGAAAACAGCAAGGTTAGATTGCTGACAAATCAGCTGAACAATGACTGAAAGTCATCAAGGTAAAAGAAACCACACAGTGACCAACAGACCTGGAAAGACACTGATAAGATGGTTCCTCCCTAAAAGGGAGAACTTCATGCTCCCTTGGATTTTAGGCTCAAATCCAAAAGTGGGTATGAAAAATAGTATTTGTGTGCGTATCTATGAGCATAATCTTCCAGAATACAGGGGAATGTGCACTTTTCAGTGTTGAAAGGTGGCTGGCTCATCTAATTGTAGCCACACTTTTGTGTTGGACAGCCCAGCCCTCTGCCATCAAAACATCACTGTCAGGAGCCAATTACTGTAAAAATTACCATGCAAGTACTGGGTAAGTGATGTTCTCTGGCAGAGAGGCCATGAAAAGGATGTGTTTAGCATTGTAAATAATGGCACATTGGCCTGAGAAAAAGCCTTTCTTAAAAATAAGGCCAAGCCTTTTGTAAAAGTATCCTCAAAAGACTGCCTCTTTCTAGATTCTCTATCAGCAGCTGAAAGTCAAAGTCACAAAACTCTTCCCTAATCGTGAGCTGTAGTTAGGAAAATTTTATAAAATCATATACAAATACAAAGAATGAATCTGAAAAATCTTCTCACAGTTGAAACAACGATGCATGAGGATTATAGGAGTGAGTTATACTTTTACAAATACAGGCATTAACTCTACATTCATAGCTGTCACCGCACGAAAACCCCCTTTCCTATCCATCCCCAGGTAAAGCGGGAGGAGGCAGGAACCTCGGCGGGGCTGGGGCTGGGACGGGCGGGCAGCAGGCGGGGCGGTCACCTTGTGTGGGAAGCAGCGTCGTTCATACTGAAAGTGCTGTTCTCCCGCGTCAAAGGGTTGGATCCCACGGGGCTCTTGCTGTGGATGTCCAAGCTCAGTGACGACTCTGCCTTCCGGTCCATGCCGTGGCTCTCTGTCTCTAAAGTTCGATCTGCCATGGAGATCACTTCACTGGAGCTATGCCACAGGGGCGCCACCTTCTCCTTGCTGGGTCCTGAGCGAGGGGACGACGTGGCTGCCCCCAGGGAGACCGTGCTGCCGTGGCTGGGGCCGTACGAGGTGGTGTCGATGCCGCTGTCGGCGGACGTGCCCTGCAGGTAGTTGTAGCTGTTGAGTTCGGATTCGGTGCGGTCCCCATCGTACCACTTCTCGTCACTGTGGGCGCTCGAAGCGTTGCTGGAGAGGGTGTTGCTGCTGGAGTGGCTGGAGTAGTGGCTGTCAGACTGCAAGGAAGGGAAGCGAGATGGACTTCAATGCAGGCACCGCTGCTAGAACAGCGGGGGAAGTCACGGTGGGAGGACGCGGGACATGTCTAGCTATGGGGCTCTCAAGGCACGGAAATGTCAATGACAAATTAAAGACTACAGATGCCTAGAAAAAACCTCTCTGAATTTTCTGTACAGAGACCTGATAACTCTATTTCTCAGAGTCCATCTTTCAGTATTTGACTTCCAAAGGGCTGAAAATCAGAATCAGAAAACCTACTATAAGTCTGACTGCTCAGAATAAACAGGGGCTAAATGCAAGACTTGCTCCTACAGAGATCTCTCTTTCCTTCCCCATTCAGCATCTGTTCAGGAGACAGCTAATTTTTTTTT